ATTCCATAGCGCTGACGTATTTTACCCTGAAACGTATGAAGGTCGGGGGAAAAAAAAGTACATAGTAGATATGCGAAGGCACATGCTCTGATTCTCGCCCGAAATCGGTGCGCTTTCTAGTATATGTGCGATTAAAATCGCAGTCGCACTGTCGCAGCGGCTCTGCAACTGGTTTCCACCAAGTTGGTATTTTGCCGCAGAGCCGGTGCGATCGCTTTCTCGTCAATCAGCCGTTCATTAGCCCACTTTCATCCGCGAAAATAAATGTAGGCACATAAAAGCTTCTGATTTAATGCTTCGTTATTATAAATTTCTGGTTACATATTGCATTCCTAAAACATGTACGCTTATTAAGACGTTTTTGTTGTATTTTAGACAAAGTGAAACGCGTCGCGTCCGTGTCCGAAGCGCCAGCCGCTCCGACAGAAATCGCGCGGTTGTTGGAGCATGTGAAACCAAACATTGCGATCGCACTCGCTGCGTCGGCTGTCGCACCGATTTTTTTTTTTTTTTTTTCGCACAGTCTCTGCATGTGAAACTGTCTTAAGAGAGGAGTCGCATAGTAGCTCTGGGATTTCTGTGGTGTTCCGTTCCGTGCTTAGATTTGGCAGTGTTTCAGTAGTTTCCTTTAGGGGCGGGCGTTCACTCTGAATTTTACATACCTGTGCACGAGGAATCGGCTTTAATTGTCGGGAGAAAGCTTCCTGTTTGGCGTGGTTTAGGACATCCCTGTTTTCTGGTAGAATTTGACGTGGTGCTCTTTTCTTTTAGACTTCGTATTCTACTGCTACCTGAAGGAAATTCCATCGGGATCTTTCTACCAGACACGGTGTCGCGATCGTCCCTGTGTGGTTTTGATTCCAGAAAGTGGAACAGTGTCTGATGCGGGACCTGGTGATAGTGAAGTGAGTGACAGTGACGAGAACTTGCCAACGAAGGGCCTAACAACAGAACTTCCAAGCGATAACGAAACTGAAGGCAGAACACCCGCCTGTCCACTTCTGTCAATGTCAAGAAAGAAGCAAGAGTCACCGACGCAAGTTTTTGACTGGGGAGAAGAAGACCGGTGTTTTCTGGAGCCTGCGGAACCCATGTTTACGGCCTCTGATGATGTCAAATGCCGACTGAAATATTTTCAAGTTTTCATTGATGACAAGCTGCTGACGATTGTTGACGAGGCAAACCTGTATTCTTTCCATCAGGCTATTGCATATAGGTAAACGTTTGTTACACTGTGCCAACATGCTTATGCAAAGTACATATTATTTGAAGTGAATCGTTGCATCGCCCCTTCAATTAAGCACCTTATAAAATCAAATGTGGTGTTTTAGCTCTGTACATCTTATTTAATTTTACAAGAAAACATGTTTTCATTCAACACCATACATATATCCGTAATGTGTGCTCACCAGAGGCACCCTGGTGTGCATGTCAGGCCAGTTAAGTGTGCCTTGGTGTGGACATTAGACCCGTCTGGTGTGGCGTAGTGTGCACATCAAGCCATTCTGGTGTGCTGTGTTGTGCACATCAGACCAGCCTGGTGTGTTTTGATGTGCACATCAGACCACACTAGGATGATGTGATGGGCACACCAAACCAGCCTAACGTGTTCTAGTGGGGACAACAGAACACGTTAGGCTGGTCTGATCTGCGCACCAGAACACACCAGGCCGGTCTGATGTTTACGTCAGAAAACACTAGGACACACCAAACCGGTCTGGTGGATTTTTCAATAGGGGATGAAAATGCACACCATGCAGATGAAATTCAGACATAACCAGAGTCATTCAGCAATGCTGAACGTGCACGGGCAAGTTTTTAATAGAAAGGACAACCGTCCTGTAGCATGGGTGGAAAATATCAAGTTTGTCGCCAGAGTTATGATTCAAGCGCTGCGCCATTCTAATGATTGGGTTTACCGGACTAAAAGTACCGGAAACATAAAAAGATGACTGAGGTTGAGTATGTACACGTGGAACCCTAAACCACAGTTCAGATAACAGGCTCGGAGAATTGATGAGGCCATGCAGAGCTATAAAGAGGGGTGCAACGATCTCCGGACTTCGGTCAATCATTTGTGAAAGTTGCCATGCGACGCTTCTAAAGTAAAGAACAGAAAACCGAAGTTCGCCTGCGTGTCCAAGTTGTTGTGTAAAAAAAAAAAAAAAAGATAAATATTGGCATCTCTGGCACCCCTCAACTCACTCCCCGTCGTCATGGTCTCACCTGGTCCCCCTCCTAGTGACGTAATTCGGGATGCCGTGTAGCTTCCCGTGTGCTCTCTCGGGGGGCGCTTCTCTCCCTCTCACTGCTGCCATTAGCGGGCGTTATGCTGCAGCTTAGAGCCGAGCGAGGTCACGTAAGCTTTTCGCCGTAGTTCCTTAGGCTGCCACTTGGGGCTGCAGGTGGGGGAAAAAGCTCGACTTTTGCTTTGCGATTATGCAGCGGGATCACGGCATCTTTTAACGAAGGAGATGTTTCCTCTATCCTCCGGGACACGATAAACAACGTAATTCGCGTGAAGAGCCTGACCTGGTCATTTACATCAGGAGATTCTAAGATCGATGCCCAATCAAAGCTTGTGAAGTAAGGATACATCCCGACATATAGTCCCCCGCCGAAAGATTATATGAGGTATGCGGCGGGGTACCAACGGTATGAGCATGAACAGAGAAATTTTCAGAAGAAATCACTATATCAAGTGCAGGATGATATATATCCTGAGGAACTAATGGAAGTTTACCGCGTGCTACACGTACACTGTTCATATTTGAGAAACATACATTAGAGCATTAAATTGGTGATTCAGAACATCATTGTGTTGTGTGAGATTTAAGAAAAAAGAAAAGTTGAAGAGATGGGTTTCTTCTTGCCTGCAGTAAAAGTTGTCCGTAAAATACATAAAACTGTGGCCAGACCCCTAAGATTAAGACCCCGCATTCATCTAAGTCATTCACTGTATTCTCTATGCCATCAAGAAAACTATGAGATTTATCTGGCGGTGTCTGGAAGGGAGGTAAAATAAATCGATTAAAACGCGCGTACTCCCTTTGCAGACTCCATCTCGACCCATGCATACATTCTCAGGGAATTTCTCTAAGTCTTCGCGTCTCCTAGAGCGGTAGCGCCTGTCGACTGCGACCAACACTCCACCTCCCGTTCTGCTCCGCGAGGTAGAATCTGTTCCGATGAAGACGAGGGGCAAATATTTGGGAGAGGGAGGGAGGAAGGCGGAGGAGGCCATCGCAGTAAAAAAAAGCGTTTGCGACAGGCGGGAATCAAACCCAGACCATTTAGGTTATCTACCGGACTCCCCGAAAATGCGGAACATTCAGGGAAAGAATCTGCATTCACACAGAGCTAAGTAAACATATCCGCAAGCAAGGTTAGGAATGTCTGAAGCTATGAAAATTTTCTCATGCCCGCTAGAATACCCCATTCTACAGTATTACAGAGTATTACGGTGTATGAGGTAAGCTAGTATTACACAATTCAAGCTAAACCTTCCATACTACTTATACTGCATTTACACGCGACAACTGTAACAAGTATGTACAATACAAAGTTTAAAAAAAATAATGCAGTTAATATCAATTGTATAAACTTCAGCATTCAATGTAAAGGAGGTTGGCTGCACTACACTACTATTAGTGGTATAGCTTCATTCTAGTCTTGATAATGCTGTGGGGGAAAATGCTTAGCAAGTTGCTGAGCAATTGTGCTGCGCCTGAAACGTGTGGTGTCTACGCTCTATAGGCGCTCCTCATCGATCGGTTTAGCGACTGGTTAAGCGCGTGGCATGTGCATTCGACAGCAATTCCTAGAATGTAGATACCGGCGCTAAACCAGGTTTTGAAAACGCGTGACAGGATGTCAAGTTGGAATCTGCCGGGAGCAGAGCGGATGCCCCGCAGGGGTTTTCCATCAAATAGCACTTCAATTCACGGCGATTTGTCATGGCGCACTCAATAAAGAAAGAAAAATTGTCGTGACATGCTGGAAAAACATTCGCTTAATAATGGTATCATGAGGGAAGGTCATGTAATCCAAATCATGATATAAACCACTGTCATATTCTGTAATTATGTTAAGCCTACTTAACGGATTTCATAGCCCTTTGATACCCCGAGTGGTCACGAAGATAATCTTAAACATGTCGCTAGGTCAACGACTCTCTTCATTCAGTTCAACAAAATGAGGCGATTGATACCAGACTCCAGATGTAATACAGGTTTATAAGCCAGGTGTGTGCCTCTCTTTCACGCAGACTACTCCACCATCTGGGGTGCGATTGGCTGCACTGATTAAAAGAAGATTAACTAATGGCTTTTTAATTGCATCACGGTGCGGAACGTACACAGAGGCCCCTGAGAGCGTCTCTGTGTACGTGACACTTTGTGGCATATCTAACACGAACATACATCGGCAATTTACTCGGACAGAATTTAAATTGGCACAAAACTTTATCATTAGGTTACGCTTGGCGTGAGCAACTTGCTCCGCACTAGTAGCTCTGTCGATGTCATTTTTATTGAAAGCAGTTTTGGTGTTCATGTAAGTATATGTGCCATGCCTGCACGCGTTTCACAATCTAACGTTCGCCTTTCGAGACAGTGTCGGCACTGCACTCGGCGTCCCGCAATATATATATGCACCCACCCGCCTAATTAACACGAGAAGTTTGTGTGAGCGCTTGCACTGTCGAGCGTATACAGTCCCTACCAATTATGCGTCTAGGTTCAGAAACACGTGTATCCTGTTGGTGGTTCTCGCATTCTCGCTTCGCCGGATATACCAAATCGCGAACTTCCCTAACGTCGCTCGAATTGTAGGTTGTAACGACCCCCACCAGGTGTCCGCATCCTTCCTAAAAAGATAAAATAAAAATGAAATGAACAGTCGGAAGCATGTAAGCGTTTTGCGTACGAGCAGAATATTAGGATATAGTAGTTGGTGAACTGGAGAAGCGGCTCAGTATCCCAGGGACCGAGGCGTCATCAATGGCCACCCATCTTCTCAGGCTTGTGCCGGTGAGACATAAGATGCGACAATAGGCGAAGTGCGCGACCAAAAGCGTTGCTCTGGTCGACTTGCCACGATCGCGTATAGTTCTCTACAACATCTGAAAAGGGATTTTGATTCCGCTTTCATCGACAGAAATAAGAATGATGTGAGACAGTCACCTTCGGATATGTTGGTTTAAGAATGCGATGAGTCCGAGCTTCTACGGTGCTTTTGGCCCGCACCATCGAACTTATCGTTTGCAATTTCCGATAAATAGCCAGGATCACAACTCGTGACGTCACGGAAAGAAACCCCCTATTCGTGACGTCACGGATAGAAGTAATAAGAGGGCACCGGTGAAATATCCCGGGGATTTAAAAGGCTGGGGACATTCTTCTTCTACGCACCAAGCCACGTTTAAAGCAGCGGAACGTTTTTTTCGCTTCCGTGTCATTCAGATATTTGCCTGCTGTCATCGGAATACTCGCGACATCACACGAACCAAGAAGTTGGGAGAAGTTGTTTGGCTATCATACCCTCTAAAATATCTGGAGCGTTTACGTTCCCGCAAAAGCACAATTCGGAGAGCCAAATCACTGCACCTTATGCAAAAAAAAAAGGTCGACAAAACGACGAGGCTCAAAATGTGTTTAGGCCTAATCAAAAAGTTTGCTCTGCATGGTACTGAGCGTGGTGAAACGTCATCCACGGTTTCCACAGCGCAATTAAACTGTATTATGTTTACCTCAAAACAATTCGCCGCGCTCCATTCGTATGCGGAGCGTAAGTTCGTCTGCTTCTTGAACAGGGGTTGCAGTGTCCTCAGACCGCCGAGCTCTGATTGGCTCAGAAGGGAAGGATAGTGGGTAGACCTCAAGGTAACTAGCATCGAGGTCTACCCACTATCCTTCCCTTCTGAGCCAATCAAAGCTCGGCGGTCTGAGGACACTGCAACCCCTGTTCAAGAAGCAGATGAACTTACGCTCCGCATCTATAGCTTGCAGCGATTGGTTCTCCCAGTGAACCTTTTTCGAGGAACGAGTAACGAACTGCTTATATGAGTCACTTCTGTGGCGGGGCATGCGCAGTGCGTATACCGGAGCGCCCATTGTGCCGTTTCGGGTGTGCAAAGACGGTTCCCTAAAACTCCCTATTATCGTTCCGATGTCTCCGGTAACGACAACCAATACTCTGCCGTAACCTTTGCGCATGCATAATGTCGTTATCGGGTATCGTTATCCGGTGTATCGAACTACCGGAACGATCCACTCAAACTTCATATTTTGAGAAAACGGTAATCAATTGCGCATTCACTTTTTTTTTTTTTTTGCAAGTAACAATTGCAACGTTATTTTGTTACTTTATTTTCCCGATAACGCGTACAACACTGCGCTCAAGACATTATGTGCCGCCCGCTGGCTCTGTCAACGTGATCAAGCTTGTGTCATTTCCTTCTTATTTCTGATTCAGGCGGGACCGGCGGAATGGTTGGCGCTGCTTTTAACCACAGCGGCTCTGGTGCTCGCGTACTTCGCCGCCACCGACTGGTTCTCGCGGTTCACCAGCCCTGTCGGGAAGGAGCTGGTGCCCGGACCTCGGGGGCTCCCGTTCGTGGGCAACCTGTTCTCCATGGACAACAAGTTCCACTTCGACAAATGCGTGACGTGGGCCAAGAAGTACGGACCCGTTTTCAGGTGAGTGCGCAGAGGACTGAGGGAGAAGTTCTACGAGCGCTCGCAGAGTTAGCATGCGTTTTAATTAGGAGTGCAAGTTCGTCTGCTACATTTTGCAAGGGTCATGTCGACGTCAGAAAGATGTCGAGCTCTGATTGGTTCTGATGGAAGGATAGTCGGTAGACGTCAAAGCAAGCTGCCTCGAGCTCTACCCTCTATATCCTTCAATCAGAGCCAATCAGAGCTCGACATCTTTCTGACGTCGACATGACCCCCGGAAAAAAAAGCAGACGAACTTGCGCTCCGGATTGGTTTCGTTTTAAAGTCGCAGTCTCACGGCTCGCTGGTAATACAAAAAGGTCTCGGAGTTTCTCCGCAGAGATGATGGCAGAATCGCCTGCGGACACGCTTCAATCAACTTCGAAGCCTGTTTTCTTCGTACATATGTATGCTTGAAACATATGTCTGCGGACAGATGTTTTCTCCGCAAGCTTTTTTTTTTTTTTTCCTCCGCAGACCGGCATGCAAGGAGGAAACATGCCTCAGCCAGTGTAGGGCAGACTGTTCTTTTGTACGATGTATTGGCAGTAGGGACGCGGCTAAATACAATGTATAGAATGATGGGATACGAGAGAAAAAGAACAGCGTACTAAACATTTGTCTTTGTAGGGTCGAAATCGGCGCCACTTCCATGGTTGTGCTGAGCGATTTCGAGCGTACAAAGAAGTACCTGAACAAAAAAGAAATCCTGTATCGTCCGGACACCTGGATGTTCAAGCAAACTACGTTTACCGGTACGTACAAACACGTCGACTTTGGCGGGCATCTCGTAAATATTGGCGATTTTCGTCGCGTGTCAATTGAGTCTTTCGCGGCTTCGTCTCTCTATAATAGACCAGCGGGTGCTGTGAAAATCTGCTGCGCTCGAGAATGCTGGCCGGCGAACCTGCCATGACAGCTTAACTGTCCTATACCCGATGGCTGCTGTACTCGATTTCGTGGAAGTTACCGATACTTAACGCTTAATCTCTATTGCCAGCGAGCGACACCTCACGGTGGAGCGCCTCGCTTCCGAGTAAAGGCTTCGTACCTCGTCATTAGAAAAACTACCCGCATTCGGCGTTGCTCCGTGAGCGTTCCCACGTGATTACACACGCATGCAGGTCTGGTTCAGAGCTGGGATTTTATCGTATCCTTCAGCGAAGGCGGTAACCACGGTAACTCACCGCCATGTTTTTCGCGTATCTGCGCTGAAATATACTTTCTACGAAGTGCTTGCGTATTCGACGGTCCGCTTACTACTACGGGACGACTTTTGCCAGTGTCAATTATTAATAAAATCCACGTGATACCCATTTTTCTCTCCTCGTTTTATCAGATTACCGTGTTCGCTCGATGGAGATCGTGCAAATCTATCGGGAATCACCGGGTCACAAAGATGGTCGCCAGACAGACCTTTAGGGGTCTTGGTGCTTAAAAAAATTGTCGCCAAAAAACTAAAATATTTTTAATCGCAGGAAATGAGTTTCCGTTTTTCAGAAATGTTAAAACAGTCCGGGCAACGAACCAAAAACGATGTCGAACGTAGCTGAGCTTCCCGACACTGTATTTGCTCAGGAAGTTGCCTATTCGAACCGCAACTAACCAGGAAATTGGCGGCGTCAAGAAGAAAAAACAGGGGCACATGCAGTGTCAATGCTCTAAACGCAGCCTATGAAGCGAACCTAGCGGAAACGCACGAGTCGATTTCACGGATGAGAGCCATTCCTGCCCTGCAAACATGCAAATAACAAATTTTACGTCTGTTTTCTTTTATTGTCGTTTTATTGTACTGCGTTGGCGACTGTGCCATCCAATCGACACTGCAACGCCCGATACAATTGAGCTTAAATAGCATATTACGTCGTGGAATTCTCCAAACGTCTGAATTACACAACAGCATCGAAAGTGAAGTTTTGTTTCCTTTCAAATTATACATCCGATATTTTTCACAACAAAAGCAGCAAGTCATACGGACTTTTTTGTATAAGTACGCTTGTCATTGTTTGCTTGACACGTTCAGCATTCTATCAAGATTGCCCGCGACAGATATTTCGATGTTTTCACATGTCGGCTGAATGTTTGACTCAATCTGATTAAGAATATGAGCACGGCGAGGCGTCTTCCTCAAATATCTGGTATATAAAAAAAAAAAAAAAAAAAAAAAAAAAAACTCAAATTACTTAAAAATTATGAGGACGGCAAGGCGTCTCTTTCGAATGCTCTGCATAAAACAAGAATAACCAAGGCTACTTAAAAATGTGAGGATGGCAAGGTGTCTCCTTAGAATGCACTGCATAAAACGAGAATGACTCAAGGTACTTAAAAATATCAGAACGGCAAGGCATCTTTTTCGAATGCCCCGTACAAAACAAGGAGGAATTAAGGTACTTGAGTATTATGAGGAAGGCAAGGGGACATTTTTGATTGCCCAGTATAAAACAAGAATAACTCAAGATACTTAAAAAATATGTGGACGGCAAGGCGTCTGTTCCGAATACACTGTATGAAACGGGAATGCCTCGAGGTACTTTAAAAATACGAATAATGCAATCAAGCTATTTCGAATGCCCTGTATAAAATAAGAATGTCTCATAGTATTTAAAAAATTGAGGACGACTAACAGTCTCTCTTGAATGCGCTTTATAAAACAAGAATGACTCAAGGTACTTAAAAATACGACGAAGGCAAGGCGTCTCTTTCGAATGCCCTGTATAAAAGAAGAAAAACTCAAGAAGTTAAAAATACGAGGACGGCAAGGTGTTTTTTAATGCCATGTATAAAACAAGAATGACGGCACTTGAAAAATATGAGGACGGCAAGGCCTGAATAAAACAAGAATGACTCAAGGTGCTTAAAAATACGAGCACAGCAAGGCGTCTCATTCGAATGCCCTTATAAAATAAGAATGCCTCAAGGAACTTAAAAGTATAAGGACTGCAACGAGACTCTTTCGAATGCACTCTATAACACAATAATGACTGAAAGTGCTTAAAAATATGTAGCCGGCAAGGCGTCTCTTTTGAATGTCCTGTATAAAACAAGAATGACTCGACGTACTTAAAAAAATGAGGACTGCAATGTGCATTTTAATGTCCTGTATAAAACAAGAATACCTCAAGGTAATTAAAGAATATGAAGACGGCAAGGCGTCTTTTTTGTGTGCCTTATAAGGTAAGAATGACTCAAGGTACTTAAAATATATCAAACGGCAAGGCGCCTCTCGAATGTCCTGTAAGAAAACAAGATTGAGTCAAGCTAGTCAAAATAAAATGAAATATGAGGACGGAATCCCGTCTATTTTAATGCCCTGTAAAACAAGAATGATTCAAGGCACTTAAAAAATCAGAAGACGGCAAGGCGTCTCTTTTCGAATGCCCTGAATAAAACAAGAATGACTCAAGGTGCTTAAAAATATGAGCACAGCAAGGCGTCTCTTTCGAATGCCCTTATGAAATAAGAATGACTCAAGGTACTTAAAAATATGAGGACGGCAACGACGCTCTTTCGAATGCACTCTATAACACAAAAACGACTGAAGGTACTTAAAAATATGTAGCCGGCAAGGCGTCTCTTTTCGAATGTCTTGTATAAAACAAGAATGACTCGACGTACTTAAAAAAATGAGGACTGCAATGTGCATTTTAATGTCCTGTATAAAACAAGAATACCTCAAGGTAATTAAAGAATATGAAGACGGCAAGGCGTCTTTTTTGTGTGCCTTATAAGGTAAGAATGACTCAAGGTACTTAAAATATATCAAACGGCAAGGCGCCTCTCGAATGTCCTGTAAAAAACAAGATTGACTCAAGCTAGTCAAAATAAAATGAGATATGAGGACGGAATCCCGTCTATTTTAATGCCCTGTAAAACAAGAATGATTCAAGGCACTTGAAAAATCAGAAGACGGCAAGGCGTCTCTTTTCGAATGCCCTGAATAAAACAACGAATGACTCAAGGTACTTAAAAATATGAGCACAGCAAGGCGTCTCTTTCGAATGCAATTATAAAATAAGAATGACTCAAGGTACTTAAAAAATATGAGGACGGCAACGACGCTCTTTCGAATGCACTCTATAACACAATAATGACTGAAGGTACTTAAAAATATGTAGCCGGCAAGGCGTCTCTTTTCGAATGTCTTGTATAAAACAAGAATGACTCGACGTACTTAAAAATAAATGAGGACTGCAATGTGCATTTTAATGTCCTGTATAAAACAAGGATACCTCAAGGTAATTAAAGAGCATGAAGATGGCAAGGCGTCTTTTTTGTGTGCCTTATAAGGTAAGAATGACTCAAGGTAGTACTTAAAATATATCAAACGGCAAGGCGCCTCTCGAATGTCCTGTAAAAAACAAGATTGACTCAAGCTAGTCAAAATAAAATTAAATATGATGACGGAATCCCGTCTATTTTAATGCCCTGTAAAACAAGAATGATTCAAGGCACATAAAAAATCAGAAGACGGCAAGGCGTCTCTTTTAGATGCCTTAAAAACAAAAACGACTCAAGGTACTTAAAGATATGAGGATGGCAAGACGTCTCTTTTAAATGCCATATAAAATAAGAATGACTCAAGGTACCTAAAAATATGATAATGGCAAAATGCATATTTTTCGAATGCTCCGTATAAAATAAGAACGAATCAAGATACTTAAAAAATTTGAGGACAGCAAGGCGTCTCTTTCGGATGCCCTGCCTAAAACAAGACTGTGTCACGGCACTTAAAAAATACGAGGACTGCAAGGCGTCTCTTCCTTATGCCTTGCATAAAACAAGAACGACTCAAGGCAGTTAAAAATATTGTTATGGAGTCTAATTTACTAGGTGTTGTCCATCGCCAATTTAGAACGGATTGTGTGTTGGCCTCGTGCCGTCTGCGCGCTCATCGGCGTCGTCCTCAGTGGGTTCTGGCACGCGCCTCAGCAGCACCGGTACAATAGGATGACCGCAAGGCGTCTCTTTCGAATGCCCGGAATGAAACAAGAAGGATTCAATGTACTTAAAATATACGACGACGGCAAGGCGTATCTTTCAAATACCCTGTACAAAACAAGAATTAAGTGCCGTTCACACACTTGCAACCGAGTAGGACCGAGAGAGAGGCAAAACCGGTTTTGAAGCCTCTTGCGACGGCGGAGGACCTACTCCGCTGCAGCGGATTCGGTCCAACAATGTTGCACGAGGCTTAAGACCGGCCTCTCGGTCCTACTCTGTTGCAAATGTATGAACGACGCTTAACTCAAGGTGTTTCAAAATACGAGGACGGCTAGGTGCCTCTTTCAAATGCCTTGTATAAAACAAGAATGGTAATGCCACTTTTTGTTGTACGCCATGTGGACGCTACGAGATGACGAGGAAAATATAAAGAAATATTTGGAAACAAAGTTCCGCCATAGCACAAAACAAATCAATCGTTAGTTGGTCATGCAGCAGGAGTTTCGTCTGCTGAAGTATGGCGACAATGTTACCCATTGCACATGAGAAACTTAGTCTGTGCAGTACGACTGCAAACCTGGGGTCTTTCATGTGCATCACACACTAGGGATACACGTAACACGGCTGCACGCCGGTACGATGCTCATTCGGATGAAACGGACAGGGGTGGGGATTGAACTTGCCATAGCACTCACACACTTTGAGAAGAAAAAAAAAAAAAAGAAGAATCGCAGCGAAATTGGTTTGATGACACCACACCGAGCAAAGCGCAGATGTAGGCACCAGGTAAAAATAGGACATCACCCTGTGCAGAAGAACGTTGAGACACCCCAGTAAATATGAAACACGCATTGTGGGTCTTTGTGCTTGGATAATTTAGCAAACAGTCTATGCTTCGAGAAGTCGAGAGGGAGAGAGGGAGAGAAGACGAGAGGCGCGATGGGACGTCAACACGCCGAGCTCTGACTGGTGTAATTAATGTTAAGGCGTCAAACTAGCTGCCTTCATCACTAGTCACTCTTCGAACGCTGGCAAACGTGAACCGCTGGACGCTGGCGTTTGGCAATCAAATGCGTTCCAAGTGGGAGTAGAGACAAAGGAAACCAACAGAGCCGTATATAGGGAGAGTTTGGCCATTCATTGGGTAGTATAGAAGGCAAATGAGGAGGGCGCCATTGGGCGGAAAGCGATCTGGGCGTGTTCCAGGGCGCCTTCACAATTTTGAATGTGGCCAACCGTGAGCCGAAAACAATACCCTGGCGTTGGTCGCGAGAAACGAAATTCATAAGTGCGTCCGAGTTAGTCTCGTTGACTGAAAATACGGTGCACGTGATGTTTCAATCACTGTCATCCAAAATCATGGTGGAAGAGAGCGACTAGAAAAACGACCGACATAATCAGTACGCCTGGTGCCGAAGGCCGTGAATCTGCCGTCCGAGCGGTCCCACTCTGTCCGAGCAAGACAGAGTTCAAGCGGCACATTCGTTTCTTAAATCTTTTTGCATAATCATAATCGAAACATCAGGTGCACCCTATTTTCAACCAGGAGGAGTTACTACATTTAACCCTTACGCTCTTATGAAAACTGCTTCTCGTTACCGCCGCAAGGGGCATTCTTTTCGGCTTCTGGTTGGCCAAGAAAGCATGCCAAGCCCTCTTTCTGCGTCTGGTGCACGCCCTGGCTCTCGCCCGCTACTCCCATTTACCAAACTCTCTCTATACACGGCTCTGACAGCTAGGCTTGCTTGTACCCCCTAATCATTCGAACCAGAGCTCGGCCTTCTAACGCTCTAGGCTTACGTTTCACTTTTGATTGCTCGCATCACTATTTCCACCAAGAGTTGTTCGTGCGCGAGGCGAAATAATCCCTACTAGTACGCTTACTCCGTAAATTTACGCAGGTGTTGGAGTTATGAACGGGCAGAAGTGGCAAGATAACCGACGCTTTTGCCTGCACGGACTGCGCGACGTGGGATTCGGCAAGACTTCGATGCAAGACACCATCAGGGTTAAGTCTCGGCGCTATGGTTGGTTTTCCCGGGAACTTGAGAGTTGATCATGAGTGTAGACGCTTTTCGTTTGCTTTCGTTCTCAGTCGCGTGGGTTCCGTATCTGGTATGCGGGACGAAGAAAAATAATAAAACATGTTAACCTGGTATACGCGACAAAATGTAGGCGAGGCAAAACAATAGTGTACAACAATCGAGCATCTTTCGTGAACGCCTTCCAGTGGCGTAAAGAGATCGAAACGGTGGTTTAAGGGATACGAGAAGTGACGACATTCAAGGCCGCAGCTCTGACGCCGCCATGATTGTGGACAATGACACCTCTATGACTTCCTCGAACGGAAATCAAGGACGACTCTTTTTTTTTTTTTTTTTCTTTTTTGACGCGGTATAAACACATCAGCCAGAGACTCGTCCCAGGCATTGTTGCTCTGATAAATTGCCATTACCTCCCGATGAAAAAAAAAAAAAAAGAGGCACAACGACCAGAAACGAATTAGACAGAGCACCAATCTCAGTTTTATTTTAGAACCTCTCATTTGTATAAGTCTTGCCCATACTTACGCAGGAGGAATCCGGTTACCTGGTGGAAAACATCTTGGCCACCAAGGGACAGCCCATCGACTTCGAGGAGTTCATCTACCCAACCGTTTCGAACAACATCACGACGCTGGTGTTCGGGACCCGCTACGCCTACGACGATCCGCGGCGCCACTACCTGGACGAGCACATGAAGCACTTCAATCACCTGCTGCACAAGAGCTACATCATCGGATACCTGCCGCCCTGGTTGCAGAGGATCGCCACTCTGTTCCCGTCGCTCAGGGATGGAGCCATCAAGGAAGCCTCCGAGAAGCTGTCCTCCTTCATCCGGTACGAGATATGGAAAATGGTGACGGCACCGTTAATTGGCTCTTCCTCCTACTCTAAATTAAAAGGTATAGGGCACGCGAACGCGCTTCCACAAAACTACGCCAGCTGCTTTTATAAATATATATATATATATATATATATATATATATATATATATATATATATATATATATATATATATATATATATATATATATATATATATTACAAAGTCTGTTTTTATACGATGAAAATTTACGTTAGGTTAGCGAGTTTTAGAATAACGTACACAAAAGCTTTGCGTACGCAAAGAAGTGTTGTCATCGCCATGTGCCAATCCAAAGCGCGGTTCGACCTCGCCGCAAGCGCTGTGACGATTTTTTTTTTCTTCTTATAAGTACGCAAAGCTTTTGCTTACGCTTTCCTGAAACTGGCTATTTTACGCAGGCAATGAGTTGTATTTCAAAGTCACATCAGATGCTTCAACACGCTGCCTAAACCGCATGACTGGAGGACATCTGCACACATGAGTCTCAGGAAGCGCCCGCTAGATGGCCGCAGTTGCGGTGACGTCGCATCACGCCACCCAAGTCTCACCCCGCGTCCGTTAGGGGGCTTCTCCGTCTATAAAATAAATTAGTGTCACTCTCCAAGCAGACATTCTGGCAATGGCTCTTCCACCTAAAGAACAAGATGCATAAGTGCAAGATCTGTAAGGATGCATTATGAGTCGCATCTATATAGCTGTGACTGCACTGTGCAGTCCCTCAGGAGAGGACTGCTGAATTGTTTAGAGCACGGAACACCTGATCCCAGAAATATTGCCTGTCCATTCATCCGTGCATCTCCAGGCTAAATTAGGCGGGGAAATTGACGTCACGCGCCTCGACGTCATATGAGGTCAGGTCACGTGACATCACAATATCACGATGTCAAGTCCTAGTGTAACGTGGTATTATGGCGTCTCGATCGCGACGTCAGGTTAAGTGACGTCGATTTCCCTCGCTATATTTATCGGAAAATTAATTCTTGACTCGCCAAACCGACGGTATAATTTCTCGTGAAACTCTGCCTTAGAAGCACACTCTGAGAAATCTGGTGAGTCTATACTTTGACACAAATCACTTAGAGGAGTTAATTGCTCAAATTTAGAGGAGAGAGCTTGTGAAATGACGAGGCTAGTAATATGTTTAGAACTAAGAAGAAGAAGAAAGGAAGCCTGCACTGGGGGTGGCACAGAGTGGTGGAACGTCCTGCCCATGGTGACACATTGAACACCGATTTTTTGTTAGGTCCAAACATATTGCCAGTTTTGTCATTTCCCGAGCTCCATCCGTAGTTGGCAGCGGTTTTCTCTCTCAAGTAATATGTGAGAAAGCAGAAAGCAGAAGCTTTATATTTTCTAGAGGCATATTCAATTACATAATCATGAATCTATACCGGGCCTTCCCGAGGAAAAAGAAATTGGTGTTATTTCGGCACGGCGTCAATAAACGATGTATCGCGGAAAGCTCACACTCTCGGTGGGAATGTGACTCTCAACTTACTCTTAGTTTTTATATTCCGAAGCCTCGAATGTTCAAAATATTGAAAGTTCGCCAGCCAGCTCGCCTGCATGTTTTCTGTTATTTCTCTCATCGATCTCCACCCTAAGGTTACCAGTTATTATATTTACGTTTTCTGATGCATATTTGTATCGTTTTATACTTTTCATAAATGTTTTTGCTTGTATTCCAGAGAGCGGATTCGAGAACATAAGGAAACACTGGAGCCGAGTTACAATCGGGACTTTATAGACTTTTACCTGAAGAGGGTTATAGAAACTCAAGACCAAGAGGATTCAAACTTCAAAGGTTAAATCGCATTGTTCTTCTCAAACCTTACCTAACTTTCTTTCTTGTTTAGAATATATTGTTTTATTTACACAGCTTTCTAGAATTTTATGTTCTGTAGCCCCACCGCGGAAGAAAACTCAAGAATGTTCTATACTCGCTTTTTCATAAGCTCGAACTGGGCCACTCTGCAGCGGTATCATAAATATCTTTCTAAGAAATTCGATTTCTAAAACAACTTATTAGTTGCGTCCTAAACATTTATTTCGCGTTAACCGGCGCACCTAAATGTGCTTACGAAAATATGATTTCTGGGGGCAAAAATGCAGTACGTTGTCGCATAGTTTTCTCTATATACTACCAGATAATTCTCACGCCACGCCCAAGAGGTGACGTTTGTTATGGAACTGCGTTAGCGCAGAGACTTCGCACTTCCGGAATTGGGATTCTGCGCGTGCGCAGTGCTCCCCCCCCCCCCCCCCCCAAAAAAAAAAAATAAATAATAAAGCTTGGCTTTTTTTTTTTTTAATTGCAAAATTTGATTACGTGTCGACGCTCGTTTTTCGTTCAAATGTAGCGCCCCCAGCCAGATGCTAAAAGTTTTATAACTAAACGTTTTCTCAATTAAAAGTTATGAGTGCTTTCTTTGCAAATTTCAATGGAAAAATGAGCTCGTTTTTGCCCGTTTTCGGTGACTGGCGTCACTCAGCTCCGTGCATTCGAGAGCTGCGTCGATCCCCATTTTCCCGTTGAAAATGTAAGCAAATTCTTTATAACTTGTTATTGAGGTGACGGTTAGTTTTTAAACCTTTGGCATCTGGTTTGGACCGCTAGCGCTACATTTGACCGGAGGATGAATGTTCAGCACAACGTATAATTCCTTCTTTTTTTTTTCTTTTTTTTGCAAGTAAAAAAAACTTTTTTTTTTTTTTTAGGGAAAAGGGTAGGGAGAACGCTCTGTATACACCAACTCATCTCTGTGACGTCACGGCGCGGTGGTGGCGCGTCAGTCGCATTTCCGGTCTGGGGCTGTGGGCAGAAGTCCACATGCCAGACGTGTATTCCTGCGTTGTTTTGAAAGGAACCAGACAAAAACCTGCCTTCTCGTCAAAACGCCGCGACTTGGGCCGTACCAAAAGTGTCGAGAAAGGTTTGAAGGTCAATTTTCAGGTGCTCGGTTCGTCCGAGAATCTGGATATGTGCCGTAAAAAGGGAAAAGCAGACGCCTTCGGACAACGATTGCTTGGGCGGGAAGCACTTTGGGTTGAATTCACGGATACTTGTGGTCATCAGATTTATTTGCTTTGTTGCAACATGAACGCCAGAAAACCATCAAGTTGTGCGGACCACCTGCGGACTACGTTCAGTGCGTCTTCAAGTTCAAACGGCCGCCTGATCGTTCGAGCTGTCGTCTGCTCTCTCAAACGTTTCTGCTTGTCGTCTGCTCTCTTAGACGGCGCCGGCCCGTATATGTTGGCCCTGTATTTGCGATAAGAAGTAAGTGCAGGCCTCAAAAGACTTACGTTTGAAGGTTGGTAAGCAGGCTCGATGTAAACAGTAAATACAAGATGTTGATCATTGTTACCAGTGAATATCACTGACTATATATGCCTAATTGACTTGGTCCGATTCTGCTTGCGATTTTCAGTATCGACGTCGACCATTTCAGCTACGGTTCACGGTTTTGCAGCCCGAGCGGCGTCGCGACTGAAAATTGCGAGCGAAATCTCATCATGCGAATCAGGTTTTAGCGTACATACTGTGGCGTCCACGCGGAATGAATCGCCACATGTCACATTATTCGCGCGAAGTTTCGCGGTGTAACGAGCCTCGGTAATTTCGCTGACGCCGCTCAAGTAGTCAGACATCGCCAGGAAGACGTAAAATCAACGATTCGAACACGAAAAAGAGCACGGAGACTCACACCGACGCCGATAACATCGCATTTCAATGGTTTGTCTATGGGCGACGGCGAGGTTCTTGCCCACACCCCCCCTCGCGCATGCGCGGCGCCGGTGGCGTCCGCTAGGGGCGCTCCGGTTTGTTTGTAAACAAACCAGAGACATGGGATGGGCATCATTTGAGAGCAGGGAAGCGGTGAGCAAGGTAGAATTTGAGGATAGGTTGAGGCAAATGGACGGGGAGCAATGGGCACGAAAGGTTTTCAGCTATTTATACATGAGGAGTGTAGACACAAAGTGGAGACAGCGCACTAGGAAATTAAGAGGAAAGTTTTTGGGCTATAGCGAAGATACGGAAGAGCAAGTCTCAGTTAAGAAGAAAGTTAAGGCCACAGAAAGAGATTGGTGGCTAGAGGGAATGCAGACAAAGACGGCTCTGGAAAGCTATAGATTAAACAAAAGAGTTATTGCCAAAGAAAGCATTTATGACAATTCTAGGGGAAGCTCATTGCTGTTTGAGGCAAGAACGGGTGTTCTGCGAACCAGAACATACAGAGTGAAGTACC